CTCTTTCATCCATTTCATCTTCACTTCTCTTTTAACTCTTACATACATGAAGCTTTCTACTTTCCACGACAGCATATGAGTCTTGCCTTAATGTTGCTTACATTTTCAGAGTGCTTAGTAAGTTTTCCCATATACAGTGGGAAGCAAGGACATGTGTTGTCTATATAAACATTTATAAAAACACACTTCTAAATACAGCATGTCAGGAGGTAGGTTATATTGTTTAAGTTGTACAACCAAACAGACAACATTGTACAACAAAACAGACCACATTGAGAAGTATGTGGCACTGTTAGTTCTTTGGACTAAAATTCCCAGAATCCTCCAGCTAGCATAGCCACAGGCCATGTACTTCCTGGAGCATTGTGGGAGTTGCAGTCCAAGGAAATCAGTTTTTCCATGCTGTGATACTCAGCCAAACACTAGACATTATTAATGAAAACAGTAGAGATGGAATAGCAAATGAACAGATAGGAAGACAGTGATTGCCTTTGATCCCGTGTCAGCTATATAAACTGGGCTTTAGAAATGAGAGACTCCCCAAATATCTTTCATGAATTAAAGATGCAGTTCTTAACAAAGCTTATTTGTATAACAGCTATTCCTCTCGCTCCACCCACAACACACACACACACAAATATATTATACTTAATGTGCTTGATGTTCTCCAACTCTTCAATGTATCTCTTTGGCCTCACCAAAGCTAGCATCGCAATGCAATCTGAGATCACAAGAATGGGAGAAGTCACCCAAGCAGGTTCAATATGCTGATCTCTCTCAAGCTCTATATCCCATTCCTGAAGGTTCTTCATTTCATCCTCTCAGCTACAGACTGTGAAAAGCAGGAGGCAGAGGTAGAGAGGAGGAGTGAATTTAGTGAAAAGCCTGCTAAGTGCTAAGATCTGAGATCTGCTCAGTAGTCCCTGATGTGTGTCTCTGCCCAGCACTACACAGTACACACCATTTAACAAAGCTGGTCCTTCCGATGGGCTGAGTGGGATGATTACCTCAGATGACAGAGACATGGGCACAGAGATGTTTCTTTTAAGAGTTTATCTCAGTGAAAGCTTTTGTGGATCTAAACCAACTTCCTCAGACGCACAGATCCAAATACGATGTTATTTCTATTTATACCTATCTCCATTACTATAAAGTACACAGTATTTGCACTCATTGTGTCTGAGGGTTTGGAACCACTAAAGCACACACCAAAATAAAACAAAATAAGCTTTAAAGTGCCACACTATATTTGCATTTCGATTCCTTTTCCTTTGCCAACATAGCTACTTCTTTGAAATGTCCCTATTGTTTCTCTTGATTCCCCTAAAGCTGTTCTTTTTTTACTTCCCTGAAGCTCATGTGGTTCCTTCAGGTGAGGTGGAATATGATGTCCCGTCCTACCAGCAGTGTTTCAGCTGCTACCTCAGTTGGCACCTACAGGTAAAACAGAGGAGGAGAGCCATCTTGTCCTTTGCCTAAGCAGCAAAATGCCTAGATCTAGCCACTTCACAACAAAGTATTACTGCTGTTATGTTGTCTGCCTTCTTTACAAGTCTAGACTATTGAGACTAAACCATTGATTTAAGAGGCAACAACAGGGACATTCAAGAAGATGGCCTGCGATTACCTCAGTTCACCTCTCCCTGCCCAATGTTTCCATGCTATTTTCACTCCTCTGAAATGGGCTGTGAATGTCAATAGTACAGCGTCTACTGGCATGCTGCTGTGCCATGCCATTCCTATGCTGTCCAAAAAGGCAGCTGAATGTTCGGTTGAGTCTCTCTCTCTCTCTCTTTTCCTTTTCCACCCACTCCCCATCTCTAGGCCTTCCTTTAATGCAGTACGAACAGAAGATGCCTGTGTACTGATGGAAATTCTTTATGTGTGAAAAATGTCATCTGCTTCACTCAACAGTGGCTGTGAGAAACTCTGGCTTTATTCAAACATTGATCCTACTTGGCTCCCTCAAAGAAGAGGATGCCGAAGGAATTTAAATGCATAATACTTGGTCAAGACATACCTAGAAAGGAAAAAAAGGAGTAGGAGGTGGAGAAGACTATATAGCAGTGAGCTGAGTTTACACAGAGAGAAGGACAGGACATAGTTATGCTCACTAGCCTGAAAAGATGCTGGAATTTAGGCCTCTCTGATGCTTTTGCATGTTCTTATCTTACTTCAGTGACTTTTGGCAACCAAAACAGAAAAGTAGCAAGCAGGTATTGAATGTTTCCCAGGAAAGCCCAGAGATAATATGTCAGGGGAGTATGAGCTTGCTTTCCTCACCAGTCATCTCCTAAAGGTGCTTTGTGATTTTACTATTTCTCCTTTTGGCAAGCTCCCTTGTTTCCCTGTCCAGAGTTTTATGCACAGTTTCCACTTAGCAATATAGTCCCCAGCACACTCATGCCATTCTTGAGGAAGCTTCTCTTAATTTCCTCAGAGTCAAGGAAAATAGTGACTCATTTGGCCAGTTAACATGAATATTGGAATGTGTTACAAAGGTATGATTGAACAACTAGAGTTTTGACATTCTCACATCATGGCTAACACGCATCTCTTAGCTGTCACAAGTCCACTCAAAAAATGTTAACCACACAGATTGCCGGGCCCGGGGGGGGGGGCGCTGAGGAGACAAATTTCACAAGTGATTATTTCCATAATGAAATAAGATTTGAATCATTTAGTTACCTGTTAAATCTAATGAGCAAGATTTATTATGAGTTACTTTCCTTAATAGCTGGCCACATTTCAGAAAAGGTTATTCATTATGGAATAAGTATACAACAGGCAGCTGTTAAACTTAAATAAATATATTTAACAGTTGGCTCTCAATGGCAGTAGTACTTCCTCTCCATTGCTAACAGGAAGTCCCACTCTTTACAGAGCTTGCCAGCTAAGAGATTTATTTATGCCTAAATATAGAAACTTTCTGGAATCCATGAAAAAGGGATTCAGACATAAATATTTCAGAATGTAATGAAAATATATGGTTTCACACGTTGAGTGCAAAATCATTCAAAAGACTTGTGTTTTGGTTGCTTCTTTATACTTAAAATAACAGTTTTATTTTATTTTATTTATGTCTTGCATTTCACCCTTGCAGGGCCTGAGAGAGCATACAACTCAATTAAAAAAAAAAGAAAGTTAAAAATCATAATACATTACAATATTAAAAAACACTATTAAATAAGCTATCAATTTATAACCAAACAAAAAAACAGAGTCACATAGACACATTCACACATACACTCTCACACAACACACACACACACACAGAGAGAGAGAGAGAGAGAGAGAGAGTTTACTCAACATAAAAAGACCCTTCATCACTAGCTAATCATTTGCTAAAGTCCTATCCAAACAGAAACAGAGCTTGAATGGAAAACATTTAACTCGTAAAAATTAACATTATTAAAATATTAATGGAAACATTAACTGACCTCCTCAGCCCTCCACCAAAAGAACATGTATCCATGCAAGGGAAAGGGAATTATGCCTTTCTTCCAAAATTAAATTAGTACAGAATACTCCGATCATGGTGCCATAAATACATTTGGATGATAATTCATAGATGTCTAGCTTATGGTATTTCTTAGGACTTCTGTGAATTAATATCTAAGACCATAAAGAGATCTAAGATTAAGAACCTTTGCTCTATAAAGACCAAAATGGTGACTCCTAACTGAACGTCTCTAGCATAAAACTATTGGAAGCTCTGTTGTTTGAGGAAATTCCCCTTTTTGCCATTAGTTATGTTAATGTGTTAATTCTAACACATTATTTCTGAGGAGAAACACCTTTGCCTGCTGACTGAAGGACAGCAAGGAGAGATCTAGGTTAGCCTAACTAGGAGTTCCATAAATGGGAACAGAAACAAAAAAGGCTCTCTAGCATTTCCTCATCAGAAACACCTATGAGGACTCAGATACATAAACAATCATGACCTGCACTTGATTATCAAACAGGGACTGACATCCTGTTGCTTAGCACAATAAATCACACTAGAGTAGACCTATGAAACTAGTGGCGACTTGATGAGTCAACAAGTTGCAACTACAGTAGGCTCATTCAGATCAATGGAACTTACAAAGTAACTTACTCACCAAATCCACCTGCTCTAGTGTAATTTATGATACTAAGTAATGGGATGTTAGCCATTATAGCCTCACAAATCAGTACTGAGTCTCAATGTTATTATTTGCCAACAATGCAAGCAAAAGGTGAGAAGTGGTAAATTTAACATTGGTCAAGATACCACCAGTCCCATGATAGCTGTGACAAGCTAATTCAAGCTAATCGAGGATCACCACCAAAACAAACGAAAACCAACTAACTAATAAGCTGAACCATTTCTATACATTTCTCATGATGCATATTTTTCCCCAGGTGCTTCAGTCTAACCCAGATGTGGCGGAACCTTTGGTCTTCTAGATGTTGAGGAACTAAATCTCCCATCATGCCTCATCACTGCCTGTGCTACAGGAAGTGGTGTTTAAGAACATATATAAAGAAGAACATACATGTTAAACTGGAACTTGAATTATAATAGCAACCAACTAAAATCAGAGCTATAATTCCCAGAGTCTGATCAGCTACAAAAAAAATTGTAATCTTTCCAACCTCGTGTTTTAGTTGGTCATTATTGCTATTACATACCTTTGCAATTATACATATCTGCAACATTTCAGCTAACAGCAGTTCCTTCCAAATACTTTAATATCTTGAAAGAAACATTTCACTGAAAGTTAAGACAATTTTTTGTGTATGTGTGTGTGTGTGTGTGTGTGTGTGTGTGTGTGTGTGTGCGCGCGCGTGTGTGTGTGCGCACACACTATTCTCCTCCCTACCCACAAAAGCTCCCAGGGAAGTAACAACATTTAGAAAAGAAATCAGACAGCTTTTTCTATTGTTTAAATGAACAAAATGCATCCAGAAAAATGTTGGAGCAATACATTTGAGAGATGTGTGTTGGCTTGTGATTGTAGCACTGAGAAGCTCACCTGGGATGGATTGTAGAGTTCCTGCAACGGGCTTCTTGATCCCTTCCGGCAACAGATGTCCATCCCAAATGGATTTCTACGTATTACTGAGAAGAAATAAAATGGGAAATGAGTGAAGTCAAAATACTAAAGTATTCTCAAAGCCTCATTCAAACTATTAAAAAATGTATATATATATATATATAAAGTAACACTGGATTCCAGAAATATATACTTGACTTGAGAAAAGAAACATCAAATGTGAAATAAGAAAGGATGAGGTTCAGTCAACCAAAACTCAGCATTACTATACTATTTATACATATAGTATGTTGCTAAAACCCATTTATACATGTTACTAGTTGCACACACATACCACGGCATGAAAACTAAATGACATATCAAATACAACAACAGCTGGTTTTGTACCTTTCTTTGCGTTAAAACCAGCACAAATTGAATTTTATGAGCTTAGAACTCTTACTTGTGCAAAACTAGTCCTGGCCTAGCCCCATCATTAAGAGTAGATAGCAGATCTTGTGTGTCATTAAGGAAATTCTAAACAAATTCTTAATTATTGATGCTACTTACTGTATTTTTGCCACTATATAGGATATTCTACCTCCATATTCCAAAATGTGGAGTTCTTTTGAGTAGCACCTTGGGTGACTAAAGAGGTATTGTGCTGATCATAGTAGCGAAATGTGTTGAGTTAGCCAATGTCATGAGGATATCTCAGGGGCCATGGGTTATTGCACACCTTCTCCTTCTGCAGATAAGAGCAAGCAGAAGTTGACCGTAGTGGTTCACTGTAGTATGTAGATTTAGATGTAGATATGGAGGACAGGGATGTTCAGTTCTGCAGGTTGTTCTCCTGCAGGCACTGAATGATGAGATAGATGTCCTGCATAAGCAACAAGATCTGGTCTTTAAACCAGTGGTTCCTAACTTTGGGTCCTCAGATGTTCTTGGACGAAAACTCCCAGAAGCCTTCACCACTAGCTATTCTGGCCAGGATTTCTGGGAGCTACAGTCCAAGAAAATTTTGGGAACCAAGCTTGGGAACTACTGCTTCAAACCAAAACAACATCAGATTTGGTGGCAAGCATGCCTTCCTGAGAAGATGATTTGCAGACATTGGAAGTGTTACTTTTTTAAAATAGCTACTCCTGCAATCCCACCCAGCATGACCAGTCAACATGGCCAGGAGGGACACTGATTGGAGGTTTCTGGGACTCCTTGTGTCCTCCCCAAAAGGTAACTTTGCCAAGCTCAACCCCTTTGAGATATAACATTGGAGCAACCATCACACTAGTTACCACTCATCTAACATCAATTACTACTGGTCCAATTCATTAGGCACAGAGTGAAGTTCCACAAAACACAAGCTCAAGGAGGCACAAAACATTAACAGGTTTGCTCTCCAGCACTTCACTGTTGCCCTCCATCCCATGTGAACAGCCATGTTATCAGCTACCTCACTTTGCTTAACAGTAAGGCCATCCCTAAGACAGGAAAGTTTTCATTACTTAATGTGTCATTATTGTAGCATTCCTGCCAGGGTGGGTATAGGATGTATTTTTTGCTTCAGATGCCAAAATAACTAGCCAGGCCTTTAGTACTTGGCATTTTTATTGACAGATGAAACATTTATTTTTCTGCCTTAGGCAGCAAAATATCTTGGGTTGGCCCTGATTACAATTGTAACAGCTGGATATTCGGGACGGGGGGGGGAATCAGACCCCAAGCTGTTTAAGAGCTTTAAAGGTTAGAACCAGCACTCTGAATTCTGCTTACAAACTGAGCAACATTTCATTTAAACTAGGTCATATTTAATGCTTATCACATTAAAAATCTGTATGAAAATTGCAAAACAACTCTGGAGAAGTGAGATAGGATGTTCCCTTGTTTTCTTCTGAAACAAAAATAAATGTCGCTTTCTGAATGTAAACTGAAACATTAAAAAGGTTAATTATCTACTGAAAGAACATGCTGCTTTCCCCTCTAAGCAAAGAAAGACAACGTAGCTTGGTGGTATCTTGAATGTCTACAGCAAACAATCCCACTCAATGTTCTGATTTTCTTCACCATTTAAACTATTGGACAGATAACTGTTGACTGTGATTCTAATTAGCGTCTGAGGATTTTTAGTTCAACAGACCAATTATTTAAAATTCTATAAACCACATGTTACATAGCAATCATTAAATCGGGTGAGGGGAACATGTTACCTATCAGATATTTCTGGAGTGCAAATTCCATTTGCATTGGCTAGCATAGAAAATGATGCAGAATGATGGGTGAGGTAGTTCAACAAGACCTGGAGTCAGTGGAGACTAGTGACTTGAAAATCTGCTCCAGATTTTAATCTGCACTTTGAAGGAGCAATCCAAAATGATGGATCTATTTTGGAGTGTGCTGTTCAGCACCCTGGACAGCTCTTGTAAACTCTACACTGAATTTTGATGTGGATAGAACACCTTGACAAAATTAGAATTACCACCCTCTACTGCCTGTAGGGCCACACATTCCTCATGTTGCTATTAAATCCTCAACTTTCGGAGAGACAAAATGAAAATATTCTCAGCTAAACAGCCAGTGAACCATGCCCACTGATACCATATTACCACTCACAATTTGGTGTTTAGGGCAACATATACTTCATATAGGCTATAGTAGCTGGAAACATACAAGTAAAAACTGGTGAGTTTTGATGGAAGTATTTCAGGCAGCATCATGAAAAGAGACAAAATTTGCTGCTAACGTATCACCAAACACTGTCCTCATTCTAAACTGCCTTCATGAAGAAGCCAATTAAGTACCTAGAATCCACCCACTTTGCATGTTTAGTTTTTAACATACATTGCTTTAATTCACTGTTTCATAGTATGTTGCTCTGGGATTTTCTTTTCTTTTCTGAAAGATAAGTAACTGATTCTTATGATTTGGCTGTGCTCACTGGCAGTTCCTTTAGGGGAGAAGTCACTGTTTAGCTAATTTTTGCTTTGGAACGATCTTTGAATTTTTAGCTGGCTGAACAGCTCAGTGAATGAAAGTGACTGGTCGGGAGTTCAATTCCCTCCTGTGACTGGTGAGAGAAGAGACAGCCTATGTGGCCTTGGAAAAGCTACATGGCCCCAGAAGCGCCCCATTCCCAAAGACGAAAGGACTCTGAATAGTCTATATCTAGGAAAGTCTGGAAAGAACCACCCTAAATGGTATGCAATGATTATTTCATTTAAATTGCCTTCATCTGCAAGTTTACTTCTGGTTAGTGGAAATCGGTTCTCTGAGTCCTTGTGGTGGCTGAAAGGCTGATAACATGAACACAAGGAAGATAAATGTTCACTCTCCATCACTCAGTGGATAGAGCATCTCATAATTTTTTCAACATTTGAAGGTATGAAGACATTGACGACAGGGACATATAGAGAGAGACCTGATCATGTTTTGAAATTAACATATAACTGCTTCTGGAAAGTGTATGGGAACTTCAACAGACCCTGAACCAGCCAAGAGCATTCGCTTTTGATTAACTTCTTTCTGTAACACAAAGCTTTTATTCCCTAAGACCTGATCTGAGGAGAAATATTAATTCTTTTCCTTGTTATTCTATAATTTAGCACCCTCCAGCCCTGCTAAATGGTCACCCACATGCCAATTCACATTTCTCACTCAGTGGAAAAAGCCCCTCTGACAATATGGGAAAATGTTTCACAATGAGCAAATATAGTGACGAACATGCTATTTGTGCATCAGACAAGGCCGGATGCTTGGATACCAAGAAATGCACTCCTTAGCAACTGCAACATTTTTTATACAGGAACCTGTCTACATGTTATATAGCATAATATTGTTTAAAATTTGCTCTTTTTTCAGATAAAGGCTTTACAGTGGTTTTGTTACAATAGAATAGTGGATTCTTACTCCTTTTATCCACTGGGAAGAAGCCTACTTATTACTGTGTGTATGTTCTTTCCTGTCAAGTCAGAATCGACTTATAGCAACCCAAATAGGGCTTTCAAGGTAAGTGAGATACTTAAACAGTGATTTTAGCAGTTCCAATTCCCCAGTAAGTTTCCATGGCTAAGTGGGGATTTGAACCCTGTTCTCCAGCATCCTAGTCCATCATTCTATCCACTGTTCCGCACTGAGAATCCAATACATTGCTGCAATGTACTGCTAGGACTTCTATTATAAAGACTGACACCCTCTTTTGACTTGCTAGTATTATCTTCGTGCGGTATCTACTAGATAGGTATCAAAGTAAAAAATAATTGGCTGAAATACAATTCTTGTCAGTTATGCCACGTAATGTCATCAGTAGGAGAGATATTTTGGAAAGAAAACATTTCCTACTTCTGTTGCAAAGTTCCATGGCTCTTTTGTAATCTGTTTCATCACTAAGAACCTAGAATGGTGGAGGAAGGTCCTTAATTACGGCTGTTGTTTTGTTGTTTAGTTGTGTTCGAAGTAAAGTCATCCCAGCAGCAGTGATTGTCAGTAATTAAAGATTCCGCCCCCCCATTCCTCAGCTTAAGGTCTGATGCAAATTTGAACTTGTGCCTCTCCAAACTGTCCCTTAGAAGCTTCTAACCACTATGATATCATCTGCCACATCAACCAAACTCTACCATCACTCCATTCTTAGAAGCTTCTAACCACTATGATATCATACCATCATACCATCTGCCCAAACTCTACCATCACTCCATACTTTGCCATTGTATAGGAATGCCAGCTCATCTTTCCAACTCCATTCAAGGGAGATAATTTTAAATCCAAAGAAGTAGAGCAGGGTTGATTGCTGTTGAGGCCGGGACCCATAAATGCACACATATACCAAAAAGTGGGCATGTGGAATGTCTGTTACTTGGGTGAGGGCCTATCTGGTCTGCCAGCTTCTTTTGCAGATCCCTCTCCCTAAACTCAGAAAAGCTTTGATCTCCAAGCAGGAGTTGCCAATTGGAGGTAAGAATTCTTCCTCCAATGGTTGTTGTGGGTTTTCTGGGCTGTTTGGCCATATTCTGAAGGTTTTTCTTCCTAAGGTTTCACCAGTCTCTGTGGCCAGCATCTTCAGAGGACAAGAGTCAGAACTCTGCGTTCT